AGAGTCAACTTCAAGCTAATGTGTGTTAACTCGCAGTTAATTGCCAATTTTAAGGCAGCAATGTGCAAAAAAGAAGTAGAGATTTTGAAAATTCTCGAAAGGGTAGACCTTCTGATATAAGTTTATTAACGAAAGTTCCAGAAATTATCTGTAATTAAATCTTGAAATGAAACTGCGAGCTTAATTCAAGTAGAATGAAAAGGTGAGATAACGTTGTATCAGGTATAGCAGTCTCATTTTACTGCAAGTCCTCAGTACTTTTTAATAAAAAGAAAACTGCTATACCGTTGTTCTATTTCAAAGCAAAATAATTGGGCTTCGGAGGTGGATCTTGCAGCGGTTAGATGGACTTACCAAGAATTTTCTTATAACTGGAAATTAATTATCCTTATTCCAAACAAACTGCTTAACTACGAGTTGATGACGGGCTAACTCCGGGTTTCGGTTGGGTTACTACCACTCTACATTTTTACAGCAACAATAGAGTGAGTTGTAACTCAAAGTAATCAGTCGATGAGAAGTTCACATAGTTTCCCTCATCATTGTGAACTTTTCAGAAATGAAAAAGCTCTGTTGGCCCATCTTTAGGCAGTAGCTAAATGGAACCTAGCCTTGGCTAGTTGGCGAGTTTTGCAGGAATTTGTCCTATGCCAAACTTTATTTTTCGCAATCAAACATCCATTTGCTTAAATTCTAATGCAGCATCACGTTATCGCAAATCAGCTAAAACTCTCCCTACAAGCGTTGTAATTGTTTTGGTAACAATGCTCTAGTGCGCAAAAGGCTCGGCATAGGTAATTAGCATACAGCGATTGAGGAAAATCAACTGATTCTCATTTACCGAGATTTTGAGTCATAATTTCTACAACGCTTTTTCTCAAGATGCTGAGTTTTGGTAAAATGCTCATTCCGATGTTAACAAACTTCTGAGTAAGGGACTTTAATGTTCTTAAATGAGATGTCAACCTACTATTCTATCCAGCCTACTGATTTTCGTAAAATGTTGATTGGATAGGTCAAACAAAGACATACACTATAATTTTCCAAAACCAGAGTTACAGACGTACATCTGTTTGTTCATATTCGAGAACTTACCTTGATATACTGGTTGATTGCAGCATGGCTGACATTAGTACCACAAACTGCTAACCATTCATTTTTGGATTCCAAAAGATATTTGTCATTGATTTCTGTAGGTAGGAGAATTCCAAATCGTTCGAGCTAGAAATCTTTAGAAATCATCTCGTTATCCTACCTCGTAATATGAGATTGCTTACCTTTTTGATGGATGGTAATTCAGCGAGATCTAGAGTGAAAGAACTGCAAACTGTCACCGTATGAACGATGGACAACTCAAAGATCCCCATGACTTCGAGAAGGCGTGCGAACGACGGTGCATCGACACATACACGACAGTAATCTACTCCAAGTCTATATACACGAATACGGTACTGCTTCACTGCTCGCTCAAGAGATTTTATGAAATCGTCGGTGATCTCCATCTGAAAAAGGCAGAACAATTAGTGTTGTCCAATTTGAAACAATAACATAAGCAATTTCTATGACAAGTGCTGGTTCGTGAACTAGGATAGTGTGAAATATTATGTAAAGGTTGTGGAACACTTTCAAAAGAATGGTTGCTCTATTAAGAAAGAAAGTGAGTTCTTCCATTCTGGTAGACAAGAGAAATATTAAAAGCCTCCTAGAGCTTCTTCTAAGAAGTAACAAAATGAAAATAACGGTAATGGTATAAGCCAGAACTACATATGAGGTGCAGGTCCACCTAAATACTTTTGACCCAGATAACTTACGCTCATTTAAACAAAATTAT